TGGAAAATTTAAGGAGTTATTATTATGTACGTTTAGATGATACAACCGGTAGGATACTTTTGCACGTTACTGTATTTCATTATTTCCAACTGGACGCTTATATTTTGTAGATTCCACTCGCTTTAATGTTATAGCTAGGGCTAAACCCCATCTTGGAAATCCCGGAGCTCTAACGAGACGTATTGGATAATTATTTAAATAATCGAGAACTTTGGGTAAGTACCTAACCCATGCTCTTATTAATTTGAGGTTTGATGATATACTTTCAATGGCATATTGAACTTTGTGTAACATTTTTCGCAAGCGGTTTATTAAATCGTTCCACAATCGCCATGGCACGATGACTGGTTTTTAAATACTCTTGTATACGCCGTCCCCAGATTATTATTTAACCTCGAGTTCTATTTCTTCCGATCGGATAGTTTCGAAAGCCATACGTCGGGGAATTTCACTACACTGAACGCGTTTATAAGAATTAAATAATAACTCTGATGTCAAAGATTCAAATGAAATCGACAGCCAGTGGTACGGAAAGGCGTTTGGAACTTCTACCGGCGATGTATTCTTCACCAGGGAATAAACGAAATAAATTTATAATTTAAAACGGATTTTATTTAGAATATAGAGAACTATTCTAAAGGCAAGGAGAATAAAGGAATTCGATTGATTTGATATGCTAAAGATGTCGTTTGCTAACTGCTTATATGTTTCAGTAAACTATTATACTGGCATGAAATTTCGTCCTGATTTGGCTTATTTTCCTGCCGTGCAGCTATTACGCTTGTATCACTTAAGTCTGATGTGTCGCATACTGTATGTGTACCACCGATAGCGTCATCTATACGTGATCGTTATAATAACAACCATTATCCATATGATTTGTAATATATGAAAATTGTGACCAAAAAAAGTTTCTTTACAATGTGATTCCATTGTAGTTCTACTGTAACGAGCTTTGACTGTATTGACCATCCTATAAGACTGCTATGGGACGATTAACAACCATCCTATAGAATTGCAATCCTAAGTAGCCAATTTTGTCACAGTCCAGTGCATTGGGACCTAGATGTTACATGGTTAGGTATGATCAACGCGCAGTGTTCCTAAAATCGGGAAAGCACAAAAAACGGGATCCTGCCACTTACTTCTAAACACACTTCAATATCTTTACCTTCAACTCTTGTTCATCTCATTCACAAATTGCACATTGATTTTTAATGAATAACTCTTATAAGCATGCTCTCAAGCAGATCAATAGTATTCGGGAGGATCTCGACAAGTTTGATCGGGGAGAGGATGTTTCTGTCGGTATTCAAGGTAGTAATAAAGAGCTTTTTTCAATAATCTCGCAAGTCAAAGCTCATTCTCCAGGCTTGCTGTAGGACAAATATCAGCTGGTTTCACGGCGCTAGAACGTACAATCGACGAATACGACAGCCTTGCCAGAAGAGAGATTATTCTCGTGAAGCAAGAGAAGGCATTTGTGTATGTCTTTGCAAATGTTTAGTCAATAGTGTTATTGTCAGTTTTACCCATTGACATGTCTCTCTTAGGAATTTGCGCAAGCTAAGAGATGACCACAACGAGTTGAGAAAGCTATTTACCGCGACGAAACAGCGAGAAATGGCTAAAGTATGTGGAGACGAAATCTTTGTCAACGATAGCGACGGGTAGTTTACCCTTAAATGCAAGCCTTACTCATATTTAAATATTTGCCTTGCAGAATGCTGCTAATGACCGATCCGAGTTACTTGGGCGACGGCATCAAACATCGACGGTACCGATCTAGTGACAGAATTTTCGAGTAGCAATGTTTCAGACTGTATTATTGTTCTCGTAAATTAATTACTTTCTCTCTCATGTTTAGCCAGAGCATCCCTTTCACAGAGATCTCACGCGAGAAGAACACGCACTCCGGGAACACAGTTTTATTAACGAGACAGATTCAAAGTTAGATGAATTTATATCTTACGGTAATACAGTTCTCAATGATATGTACCATCAGAATAATATACTAAAGGTACGTAAGACAAGTAACATTAAGATCAAAAAGATCTTGTATAGAGCAATTTTTATTACTGCTGAATCATGCGATATGTTCTTCTGTGAATAATTTCTGCCTATTTACTAATTTACTTGTCCATCATTATACAGGGTACCCAACGTAGATTGTTAGACGCGGCAAACACTCTAGGACTGTCTCGTAGTGTAATCCAATATATCGAACGAAGGTCTAGTCAAGATAACTGGATTTTAATCATTGGAGCAGGATTCACGTTATTCTGCATGTGGGCAATTGTACATTATTTAACATAGCAATCAGTTTCATTTATTCTAATTTATTGTCAGCCGAGAAAAGATGACTTGGTGTAAACACAAATAGAAGATATAGTAGGAACTAGAGACGCAAGAGCGTACGAGCGCGTAAACCCATGCACGCTTTTAAGAAGGTTGGTTTGGGAAGAAGCATCCTTAGGTGGCTGGCGCAGATTTGGTCGGCTTCGTCCAGGAATAAAATATAGCGTACTTCTCCATCCTCTCTTCCCTTTGGTAGCCGAAAATCATTCACTAGAGAGTAACCCCGATTTCATTACGAGAGAGAAATATATCTACTATAGACTATTGTACTGGATAATCACTGAAGTCAGTTGTATAGATGAATTGATTTCATACTATACTGAGTATGATAAATTTATTTGCAATATGATAATGATAACTTGATACTGTACAGAGAATATTCACATTATGCATACACATTAGCCTGATTATCAAAGATTGTCACCGAACTCCATTGGACTGTCCATTGGCATAACCGTAACTGATAGACCCATTCGCATGATGGGCATGATTATTTATCATTGACCTTCTCACCATCTGTAAACTTCCCACTACATACAAATCTAGCAAACCTATAACGAACTTGAACAACATTCCAGTTCTAAACACCAATCCAATCCAGAATCTATTTTTTAATACATGAAAATTATCGTAGGGCCCCGTATGCTCAAATCGAGTCAATCCCAACACTCTTACAACGGCTGGAAGAGACGAACTAATAATCAACAATACTGTCACGTTTGCGATCATCTGCTGTACACCAACTTTCCCCCACTGTGGACGAATCTTGGCAAACGGACTCATGGAATAGGTCCCAATAATAGTAGCAATTGTAAAACAGAATATCAGAGTCATCTCACTCAATGTCCCAATAGTCCCAAACATTGATAAAACAGATGATGTCTGTTTGCCAAGTACTGCATCAAGCTTCCTTCTCTGTTGCTCCTCGTCTTCCGATAATAGTATGCCCTTGATCAAATTGAATGACATTGCACCAATCAACACTAGCCACGTGATGTGGATGAAAATAAATAAAACGAGAAAGGATAGATTGCGAGAAAGCGGAGACTGTGATAGTTTAAACTGTGTCTGTCGGTTCTGGGTTTCGAGGTTTTCTAATATCGCAAGAATCCGTTCTCTTATAAGCAGCGATCCCTCACTAGACGCAAAATACGATTGACTTAGATCACCATTCAAAGAAGAATATAGACTTTGAGATGATGAAGTCAAGGAAGTCGCCGTCGAACTTGGTAATACAGCAGATCTAGACATGCGATCATTGTTATGATTATTACTGTTATTTTCTGATGACATCAGCAATCTATTTATACTCTCCAATCGTTCCTCCCATACACTGGCGTCCATTTGATTCTGGACCAGCTCATCATTAAGAAATCTCCTATGATTAGGACGCAGAGAAATATAGCCTATCCATCTAACTATTACCGCGTATCCGCGTGGAAGAGCGTTTAGACAGATAATAGATCCGGCCAACGATGTAAGCAAGTTCAACACGACCAAATCTTTAATACTGTCATCCATTTGTAGCATTGACTTTGATACGTAAATGAATCCATACATCAAAATTGCAACTAGAGTCATATTAAACAAAGTCTCCCTCGCTTTAGCAAAAAATGTCCATCGCTGATCTGTCTCACTATAGAAATAAGCAAATGGCAATAATGCAAAGAGCGACACATTGCACCCGATAAACGTGTAATTCCATAACGTAGCCAAGAGCTTTGTGTCTAACCAATTAAGATTTTCACTCTGCAAGTTGATCAATGCAGTTGCTGCCATTGTACAAGGTAACAACAAGAATCCTGCCATTGCCATAGCCAATCCAGCAGCGCACAAGAACATAATTATCAAATTGTCGATGTTGTCCTCATTTTCTTCAGAGTCGTTCGATCGGAATCTCCTGAAGCGCCGTAGTGTTATGTATGATATAATGTAGGGAGAGAGGAATAGGAGGAAGGCTATTATGTTCTCACGCACTAGAGTGTACCATTGACTTTCTTCGGCTTCGGTTGGAGAAGGTTGCCCTGACATGTCAATTGAGAATACGAACAACAAGGTGATCTATAGTTCTCCCAGTAACACACGCGTTGTTGTTATTGCATGCGAGGAATACTATTATCGTCAATTGAAGAGGCGTTCCTAGTTATGCTTTTACAGTATACCAGATACTCAATAATGGAATTTTTTATGCTTTAGCCACTTTCCCTCCTGACCTCTATCATACACTTTTCGAAATAGTACAACGTCTTAAAGAAAGACTAATCGGAAGCTCTACGACCGCTTATATTCTTCTGCACGCCCAAATAAGGAAAAGTTGATTGCACAATCTTATCCCTACATGGGTGACACCACTATCAGCGAATCCTGGTAATTCACTTTAAAAAGGGCCCCACTCAATAATAGAGGCGGGAAGCTAGCTAGAAGTGAAATCAGCGCATAATTTAAGCACTGTTTGTTTCACGCACAAATGCAGTCCGTGTTTGCCGCTGTTGGAAATCAAGCTTCAAGTGATTTCTTTATCCAACTAGATGAACCCAATAGAGTATACTTTCCGGGAGACGAAATAAGAGGTAGAACAACCCAAAGCTATTAAGAATTTGTTTGCTTTATCTCATCACTTGTTGGAGAAAAATTTTTTATTCAACATTCTCGTATCGAACAGGGGTCATTCTTATTCGCGCTTCAAAGCAAATAAGGTCGTCGTCAATACGTCTTCGGTTCAAGGGCAAGGTGACCACCAATGCACGCGAGTCTCGAATGTTCCGAGTATTCGATAACTCGGTGTCTGTTGATGAGCTTGAAAAAGTCGGGTATAGTCCTCACCAGAGGTTTGCTTTTATGGCAAATTTGCCGCAGGGAACATTACCTTCTATTTATTCGGTATGTCGTTATGTCGTTCTATTGTATTCGAACGCTTTTTACTCTTACTGTGTGTTGTGGTTTGTTGTAGATATTTACATGAATAACCGGGAAGGGTATCTATTGTAATACAGTTTAATGGTGGTTCGATAAGCTATACTTTTAAAGCGACACTGCATTCTTCTTGGTTGCCCGAAAAGTTATCGAAAAGGTGTGCAGTTAGCGTGAATGTATTAGATAGAATTGACATTCAGGCCTATCCTGCGCCTGTGATTAGACCATTTCAAACAGAGGTCAAGGTGAAGAAAAAGAAGACTAGGGGAATTGCATTTGTTGATGTGTTGGTTGGGAAAGGAGCAGTTTTGCAAGGCAAGTCTGGGGTAGATAATGGGATCGTGTTCTTTTGTACTAGGCTTATTTTGTCATTTGCATCATGCAGGTCAAAGCATCCCTATTCGCATTCATATTAAACATGTTGCTCCAATAAAAAATCTACAAGGAGTTACCGTTGGATTTTACAGGACGACTGGCTTTGTAATGAAAGATGGGTATGTTAAGAAACGCAATTGTGCTGTGATAGCACATTATGTATTATTCATTGTTGTTTACCGTGATTTGCTTACATGTTTGTCTTTGTCCATTTAACAGCAGTAGAGAAGAGAAACACCCCAAAGAACTTGTGTCGACGGTCTCGCCTGTGCTGATCGATCCAGACACACTTGAAACCAACATTAGTACAAAGATAACTGTTCCCAAGGATATTTCTCCTACAATTTCAAATGCCAAGATATTCTCAATAGGTTATTATGTGGAAATCATCGTTGATCTGACGGCAAAAACAACCATCTACGAAACATCTAGCCGAAATTCAAAGAAAAAATTTGGTAAATCGCACGGCAGATTCGAAGTACCAATTGTTGTAGGCACAATCGATAGTAGTTTAACGGCTCCGAGGAGAACGTCTGTTCGTCGTTCATCTATTCAATTTCCAATCCGAGGACGTCAACAACAAAACAACGTATTCTCTAATGAGTGGGCGGCCAATTCAGCTGTTTCGCTGAATGATCCGTTATTAGCGCTTCCTCCATCCCCGCCATATCGACATTCAAGAGCTATATCATGGACCGGATCGGTCTCACCCGTGCCGTCGGCTCCATCAGTCGAGGAGGTGGGACATTATGATGATTTTGGCAAACAATTTTATCCACAGAACCAGGCGGAAGTGAATGGAGTCGCTTATGATGATTGGTATAGTGATTCAGATGGGAAACCGTCGAGAATAGATACGTTCTCAACAGCTTCATCGTCGTCGACATATGTTTCGCCATCGTCATCGACATATGTTTCGCCGTCGTCACCTGACATTCCCACTGTTCCCTTTGTGCCAACGCGTTGTTCAACTCCACAACAGATACGAAAGTCACGTTTTAGTCAATAGAGAAGTGAGCCAAGAAAGTGCGAGTGAGGATCAGAGATTGTAATGGAAGATGGAAATATAGGACAGTAAGAAAAATAATTGTAAAGTTTATTTGTTATTCCAATTGACTATTTATTCGATTAACCATGCTATTTTCGATTGTTTATAATTTAGCCATTATAGCATTAACCATTTTTGAATTTATATATTTTTTTACATACTTTATCCAAACATACTTATACCATACTTATACCAAACATACTTTATACCATACGTACATTGCTATCGCGGACTAGACCACATCTGTTAAAAAAGTGTAAATAAATTAGATAAGTAATATTGCCAATGAGTCATTGGAGGTTAAAAATATGGTCATATAAATATAAACAAAACAGCTTCTTAAACATATTACCATATTTAGAAAGGTACGATGCTAGTTAGTGCATTCATTTATTGGTTTTTATTAGAATATAATAAAATTCGAGATACAGATATCATTCTCAACTCTTTAAATTATTAATAGCTCGGTCTACATTTTCTGGTTTTAGTCAACGCGCTAGCTAAAGCCCATATCGACCAGTTTGCTTATTTAGACGGTCGCCGTGAAAAAAAACTATTACTATTACGTTTCCCATTATTTTTTTCCCCACGCTGATTCGTCTCCTTGTGATTACGTCCCTGATCTTCTTTTTCTTCACGATGGACAACTATACGATCGGGGCCACCCAACCCCTCTGCAAAACGTCTTTGGAATGGCAACAGATTGCCCTCGTCATTATGTCGACGATTAGCATTGTGGTCATCAAATATAGCGAAAACTATGTGACGATAGGTCTTTGGTTGTTCCTCACCACCAGCATATTTGCTCGAAATTACTTCCCAGAATAGTTGAGCTACCGTCGTTGGCGGGTTACAAAATGCTCCGCAACCGAACGCACTGAGGACTATCGCATCGTGGCCTATATATTGGGTACAGAAGAGCGTGATAGTGTGAATGTGAGTGACAGAATTAGGGATTTGCATAATTTATATGACTAAAACGGACTCGTACCATTGTCTAATCCTATATTTAATATAGCTTTGATCTTGTCGCGTGTCAAGGCTTTATTCTGATCCGTCAAAGTCGGTTCTCCAAATCTACCACGAATAATTTTGGGTCGTCTCACGGCAGCGACAGCCTTTTCAATTTGTTCATCGTTGTGTTACTATGAGAAATGAATATGATTTCCAAGAAAGGCTACCAACCAACATACCACAAATGACATAGTTTCTGGTTCTTCTAACCAGCCGTACGCTAGTTGTTCGCTATTGCGTATTACTATTGCGTTTGGACAATATATGCCACCCGTTTGAGGGAGAGGGTACCATTCCTTTCTCTTTGGTTCATGATACCGAAATAGGTTAGTTCTTCTAAACAAATTCTCTTCCTGCGCTCCAGCGCCATGGCCATAGCCTATATTAATATTGAGTTAACAAACAAAATTGAATTATTGAGCGAGTCGACTGAATACCCACGATTAACTAGAAATTACGTACCACCACCAGGAACCGTGGGACAGGCCATATTTAGCACAATTGGATTAAACCCTTTCTTCTTCAACTCTAATGCTTCCACCAAACAGTCTCCATTGACTACTGTTACTACTGGAGTGTCTTGCTTTTCGAGTATCACTTCTCGAGTGATAATGGATGCATCCTGATAGAGTGCCGCTTTTTCAATTTCGGCAGCAAGTTTGGACTCGTCTAGCTGGACAAGTTTACCAGTGTCGGTGCTATATTGGAGAGTGCGTATGGCTTCGATAGTCTCGCGCTGTACGGTGACGCGGAAGCGTTGCATTCTCGCATATCCTGGATTGGCAAGAAGTTATCATTAATTGTGCAACTAGGTGGACGATGATCATAGACAGATAGGGTTAAACAAAGACGATCTACCGATTATTGGGTGAAGAATATTGGCAATATGATTGACAGTCTCATCGATTGTCCTATCATCAACGTTGACTACGATTATTCTGTCTTCTTCCCTATTGGGTTCTTCTAGGGCCTCGAATTGAGACTTTAGCATACTCGGTTTCATGAAATGTCCTTTCCGTTTGTCCATTCTTGCCTTTAACACTTTCATATTACCCTTCAAGTAGATGAACCACACATTCGTATCAGGCATATCTCTGAGAAAATCACGATATTTCTTTTTTAATGCGGAACATGCGACGAAAGTATGCTCTCCGTCATTCATATTCGTGAGAGTCTGTTGTCGAACCGCTTCAAGCCATGGCAATCTATCGGCATCTTTAAGTGGGATGCCCGATGACATTTTCTGTATGTTTGATTGCGGATGCAAGTCATCTCCGTCTATGAAAGAAAGAGCGAGTTTTTCAGAGAGTATTTTGCCAATGCTTGATTTGCCCGAGGCCGACACACCCTAACAATAGGTAAGCGTTGAAAGCAAAGTAAGTATAAATGATAAAGTGTGCACGATGCTAAATGTTATTGGCTATCTCGAGCAGTCGATTACCATTAGAAAGAATGCAGTAGTTGGGGCCTTCACGTTTGACAGAATTTCTTCATCCATGGTAAAATCGGATAAAAAGAAGTCCAGTGGGAACTGGGTACTATTTATTATCAGCTCAAATAAAGTTGTTTATAAAAGTAATTTGTCTTGTTATGGAAATGACTGTCAATGGGCCGCAGTGACACTTAATATTAATTTCTGTGTGAGGTTTCCGCAGCAAGTTCTTCCAAATATTGTCATGTCAAGTTTTACATGGGAGTTGTCATCACACATGACAAACATTAGCATTATGCTTCGTCATTATGGAATTTCCTCTTTCAAATTTTGTAGGCCGGAAAAAAGAAAAAGTTTTATTGTTTGGGCTTTGGTTTCTTTCTCACCCGTTTTTTTTTTCTGCTGGTGGTTTTGCTTGTGGAACCATTGAAATATACTCTCATCGAATCTGCGAGGAAACGTTTATTATTATTCCTGTAAATGCAAGCTCTTCTGAAAATGCGCTCTACATTACTACGTGGGGCATGAGGAAATGTTTTAAAATTGACACTAATACTATAATTTAATGGAATAATTTATCTAGCAAGGTCGAACGGAAATATTTCAGAATGCCACACATTTGATTAGAGCGAGTATTTCCCGAGTTTATAAGAAATTCCCTAATATAAGAAAGTTGCATTCGATAAAAGAAAGAATAAGAAATGTTACCTTTGATATAGGAAATGTTTGTTTGTTTTTGTTTTTTTTTGAGCAAAACTTCTACACACTTTTCGAAGACTGGAGACACGCAGATTAACTGTGTCAAACGAATGCTACGAGCACTTTATTAAGAGACTTTTATAATCAAACTGTCACAAACTGAATTCTCTGTTATTATGCAAAATGGCAAAACTATTGAATAGTAGTACTATGGTATATAAGCTACAAATTTAGAGATAAGTTATATAATTTGCCAATATCATTTTTAATGGCGACTATTTACTGGTCGCGATTAAGAAAGCATGAGTCATACTAATACGTGGTGATGCTGAAAAGTTTTGTCCTTGATTCTTTATTTTGATGATTCTAAACACAATTATTCAAAAAACTACTCAAAGTAGTCTCCATTAATATTAACATCTGTGCAATGTTACAGACGATTCTGCCAACTCTCTGGAAGGGATTCTCATAGTCAGCTTTTGGAATGGTGCAAACAACTGCCTGAACTAGAACAGCCCTTGCCAAATTTTCAACACTATTAAAACTTTGTTCTTTCTTGATTCGAAGGGATATGCAGGGAGCAAGATCTGGACTATATTAATATGGAAGATTGGGAAGAAGTTTACCTGAAGATAATTGCTGATTTATGTGGTGCATCATTGTCATAGTGAAGCATAACTATAACATCTGAACAGATTTTTTGAAACCAGTATACTATTTGCATAAAGCTTTTATGGGAAATACGTACCTGACTAACCATTTCTGTGGTAATTATAACATGAGGGTCAGTGTGTTGATGAAATCATCGACTTTAACTTTGGCAATGTTTTTCAGACGCCACTGCTTCGCAAGGATGCCCGGAACGAGCCCCAGCTTTAAATTGTGCGAATAGATGGTGCTTGTTCCCATTCTGCATTGACCAGTTCATTTTGCAACCCGAGTTGGCTCCCGACCATTCTTGTCACATAGGTCAGCTGATTTAGATTGTTGAAATCCAACCCAAACTTTTCAGCATCTCCACGTACGATCAGGTGAATGGAGGCTGTGAAGAACAAGTCCGTTATGATTGAACAAACTTGATAACTTGACATAACTTGCACCAATTAAATTTTACAAACATACCCCAATATGACTGTTTTTTATCATACCAATCTTATTGGTCGAAAATGTTTACTTGGTGCGCTGCGCAGCACCCAATAAATGTATTGCTGTGTACGCAGGGGGCGGCATTGCATGTAACACAACCCCAAGAGTCCAGAGTATATAAACATCAAAATCTGGCAGTTGTTGTTTCTTTAGGTTACTTTAGCTTACTTGCCATAACATAAGTGAGCAACAACCACCCCCTTTATTATTATAAATATTATTATTAAAAAACTTTAGCATATTCCGTATTCGCGGGTTTCTCAGCTTTTCTACTATTAACAGTCTACCAATATGCGTGAGTGCATCTCTGTCCACGTTGGTCAAGCCGGTGTCCAGATTGGAAACGCTTGCTGGGAACTTTACTGTCTTGAACACGGTATCCAGGTAAGCAAACGGGTGGTTTGAGATGAGAGTTGAAGGGAAGGAGAGAAATACATAGAATCGTGTTTTGGCCGTAGTTTTAGTTGTCAGATGATGTATTGTGCGCAAGTTATTTTCGCGTCTTTCACCTGATAGAGAGTTAAAGCTTCTGACTAGCATTATGGATAGTTAATGTTTCCGTAACAGGAATCTTATTTATATTTTGTTTTAAACTCTGCTAACCTATATAACCTATATAACCTAGCTAACATACCTAACCTATCTAACCTAGCTAACCTAATGCCCAATTTATTTTATCTGTTTGTAACAGCCTGATGGTCAAATGCCATCTGACAAGAGCGTTGGAGTATGTGACGACTCCTTCAACACTTTCTTCTCTGAGACCGGCTCCGGTAAACACGTTCCTCGTACGGTCTTTGTCGACTTGGAACCCACTGTCGTGGATGAAGTCCGCAATGGTACCTACCGTCAATTGTTTCATCCCGAACAATTGATCACTGGCAAAGAAGATGCCGCAAACAACTACGCTCGTGGTCATTATACGATCGGAAAGGAGATTGTCGATTCGGTGTTGGACAGGATTAGAAAATTGGCCGACAACTGTACCGGATTGCAAGGATTTTTGGTCTTCCACTCGTTCGGTGGTGGCACGGGATCCGGATTTGGCGCCCTCTTGTTGGAAAGATTGTCAGTTGACTATGGCAAGAAATCCAAGTTAGAGTTCTCTGTCTATCCCGCCCCCCAGGTCTCCACTGCTGTTGTCGAACCGTACAACTCTATCCTCACTACTCACACAACTTTGGAGCACTCTGACTGTGCTTTCATGGTCGATAACGAAGCTATCTACGATATCTGCAGGCGCAATCTTGACATCGAACGACCAACGTACACCAACCTTAATCGTCTCATTGCTCAAGTCGTTTCCTCTATTACGGCTTCTCTACGTTTTGATGGTTCTCTCAACGTTGACTTGACTGAATTCCAGACCAATCTTGTCCCCTATCCTCGTATCCATTTCCCGTTGGTTACTTACGCCCCCGTGATTTCTGCCGCAAAGGCTTATCACGAACAACTCACTGTTGCCGAAATCACCTACGCCTGTTTCGAACCTCATAACCAGATGGTCAAGTGTGATCCTCGTCACGGAAAATACATGGCCTGCTGTCTCTTGTACCGTGGTGATGTTGTTCCAAAGGACGTCAACAATGCTATTGCTACCATTAAGACCAAGCGTACCATCCAGTTTGTAGACTGGTGTCCCACCGGATTCAAAGTCGGTATTAATTATCAACCACCAACTGTTGTGCCCGGTGGCGATTTGGCGAAAGTACAACGCGCTGTATGCATGTTGTCTAACACCACCGCTATTGCTGAAGCTTGGGCCCGTTTGGATCATAAATTCGATTTGATGTATGCCAAACGTGCTTTCGTCCACTGGTATGTTGGTGAAGGTATGGAAGAGGGTGAATTCTCGGAAGCCCGTGAGGATTTGGCTGCCTTGGAAAAGGATTATGAGGAAGTGGGAACCGACTCTGTGGAAGCAGATGAAGAGGAACCCGATGAATATTAAATAGTGCAATAGAATATTATTTAACAAATGTTTTTTTGTACTGTGTCAATCGTATTCCTTTAATAAAGAATAAATAAATCTTTACCGGATTAGGAAGATCGACGGTTTATACCTATATTGCGTTTTTTGTACAATTAGCGTTTTTTGTACCAAGCTGGTTAGCATGCTTCACGTGTGTCGTTATAAATAACATAATAATGACGTCTATCCCGCTATACAGATCTCGTTATTGCAATCAAAGTTACTTGATTCTACTTTTTGTTGTGTAGGGGAAATTATGACATATCCAGTAGTTCTATTGCTGAATCTCACAACACAAACATTATCGATAAGCAGATGAAAAAACGCCACGCCATTTATGGTGCAGACAGAGATATCAAGGACATTTTATATTGAAAACAGGATCATGCTAAATTGCTCATGGAAAATTGGGTAGCCTAAGATGTGGAAACCGTTGTTCACTCGTCAAAGAGCAGACGCCAATACATACAATTTTGTAGATTTATTGTTGTCTGAGGATAAGCATAGGAGCCTCGATTATTACATTTGTTTGTTATCGTTTCTTCTTTCCTTGTTGCTTTTTTAGCAGTATCTGTGGAGCAGTTAAATACACGCTGGCTTTAGTTTTCAACAGTCTTTCGATCTGAACCGTCTCATGTTATATCTTACCTGTTTCTTTCTTAAACTCATCTTTTTCATGGTAAGCGTATTTCTCTTGTGTACTACCATCATGAATGCTTTATTCCTGACTTTTTCTTTATTTGTAGTGCTAGCGCCCTCTGCTCTCTTATTTTTGTGCGCTCCATATTTTTCACGCCCCTCACGGCCAGCTCTCGCCGACTCCACGCGCTCGTCATAATCTTGCTTAGCCTTTTTGCGAGGACCTGTTATGGTGTTTACATCAACTACGTCTGATAGTTCCTCATGTTGACTGAGAAAATCATTTTATAAAGTTAATAGTGCCGCGACAAACAGAAAAGATGTCAAGCTTAATCGTGTCACGTACGTTGAATCTAATTTTCGTTTCTCCCCGGTGACCTCATCGATGACCTCGTCAGTGACTACTTTGACCTCACCATATTGCAACGGCTTGTAATCGTTCATGTTCATACTAGCAGTTCGACCCTGTTTCAAATTTCAATGCGTAAATGATTAGAATGGTTGTCTAAGAATAGATTACATCCAATCTCAACTTGCTTACTCTGTCTTTGCGATGCAACAGCTCGGGATTTAATTCCCTGTATAAGGCTATTAACGATCGCGCAGCCATCATCACGCCCTTGGTACGATCCGACTTGTACTCGGTCAGATCTTGTAACAGCGTCGCATCGATAGCGAGAGGTTGACGTGCACAGATTTCTCGTATGGCGTTCAAGCTATAATATTAATCCGACGCAAGGAATTAGATATCTCATCAAACTCGAGCACGCAAACAATGTCCCCCAAACAGGTCTCCCATAACCAGCATACCCAGCAATCATAACCTCAGCAGCACAACGATCGTTGATAAAACCGTTTGCTATCGCCTTTACAACCGGCTCCAATGCATCTGGGGGTACAAGTTCATGAGTTGCTTGTGCCAGGATGGCTAAAACCAAAGTAACATCACGTTGATGGGGTTGCAGATATCTTATTAGATACGGATAAAATCCTAGCAACATTAACTTGTGGATGCCGATAATACGCGAGATCAAATTCATTGTCATTAATTTGACTTCAAAACGATCATTATTAGATGACTGTTGCAATATCGAAAATAACTTTTCGGCAAATCCTTCATTGACGTAAAAAAAAAAAAAAAAAGGAACCGTAAGAAAACCGAAACAACAGAAATTAAGCATTCGTATACATAAAAGAATGAGGGGGTCAAAACCTTGAGGATCATTCAAAAGATGCAAAGCCGAAAAATTAAAGTTCTCTGCCTTATGCTTTTGTTTTTCCTTTTTTCGTACATTCGCCAAAGCTTTTTCCATTTTGCGCGCCTTTGATTTCTTTTTTTTATTTATTTGGTTGACGTGTTGCAATCTCCGTATGTCGGGCACATCATCCTTAGATTGTCGAAAAGAAAAAAAGGTCGGTAAAGCAATGCCAAACAGATACTTATATATACAAATTCAAAAGTCCTTAATTCTGACAAACCTCCGAACTACTTCCGCTTTCTTCGTCTTCATTAGAGCCCAAGAAAAATTTGAGCGCTGTGACTTTTATCTTTGTCACAGGATGAAAACATGCTTCCGCTATGACATTCACGGTCTTGTCATCATTCCTGTTTTACCATATTCGCACCATCAGCAGATATTTTTACCGCTAATTGCAATAGACTGACACAACAATCAACATACCATACATTTTTCTTGTATAGCTCAATACAGACGTCCAAACTTTTCTTTGCTGCAATAGCATTTTCAGACATTTCCTGTTTGAACGGTTCTTTTTCTTGGCGCGCTGGACCACCATCTGATCCGGAAGTGCCTTGCAATATGGTATACATGAAATTTTGCAAGACCTTGTTCAGCTTAATGTTCTTATGTTTCGCGCTCGCGTTTTTTATATCATTAACAATGAAGGTGTACAGAGAATCACGCAATTGTTTGTCGCGTGCGCGAAAGAGCGTGAAGAATAAAGATAATATCCTTTGTAATGGGGGGTTGTTTTTTTTGGTAAAGAAAAAAGAAATTGGAAAGAATGAACTCGAAAGTATTAAATAAAAAAAAAAAAAAAAGACTTTTTTACGGGTATAATTCAAAAGTCAACGACCGTCGAATTTCAAATGCATATTGATAACCAACATTATCTCGTAAGTGATGCTAGGTAAACCTCAGAGTTGCAATGTCTATTAAAAGGAAACAATAATTACGTGGTGTTTGATATTATGTCTTTATTGCGAAGGAGTATAAGACCTTGCGCTAGTGTCCTACGAAGCTCAGGATACATGATCTGATAGTTCTCAGACAAGATATCTATTATCTGTTGTGGGAAAGCTCTTGTTTCCTCTGGATAACATTGAGCAACCTTGAAAAGCAAAACAATCGTATTAATTCAAAGTAGATAGGCATTACGTGAATGTCAGACAGTGAAGGAACCAAACGACACCAAACAACATCGAATTCCTTCATTGAAAACCATAGGTATCCTGCAAACACTCGTGGTTATTTGTTTTTCTTATTTATCCACCTGTGATATGAAGGTGACCAAAGAGCCAAAGTCTTCCGCATCCTCGTCTGGTTTTAGCTTAAATATAGTCAACTGAGATTCATAATGTCTGAATTGCTGCAAAAAGTCTTCCTTGTAAGAGACAGGGTCTCGTTTTATCAGATTCTGCAGTTGTGGCAAGTTTGTAGGAAGCGTAGCAGCTCTATTTCTTTTACCCATACTATTAAATATTTCAAAAAGTTTTTGGATGGCGACGAAATTAACCGTAAAAAATCTTTTGCGCGATAAGTGACCAATCAGCAAAGCGTTTACAGATCATGGGACAGATCGAACGATATTCTTGCAAGTGTTTTGACACTCAATACTCATATTTTTATCATGCTGTACTAAAGCTTTTTTCGCAAAGGATTCCTTTCTGCTGTTTGATTTCAGCTATTTTATTATTATTATTATTATCTTCTACACCGAATAAACGCTAACATCGCGCTTGAAGGTGAAATGCTGCTAGTGTTAGTAGGAATTCGGATTCTATGTTCTAAAATTAGTGAAAATGACGAGGTGGAAATAGGAATAGATATACCATAGGGGAGAGGTAGAGAGATAAAGTGCATGATCAAGTCAACGTTAAATATCGACAACAAATCTACTACTACAAAGATGTTTCACGACTACGCAATTACTCTCTTCGAATATACCTCCGGATGCTACATCAACCGTGTCCCTTTATTTAGAGCTGCTCAGCCATAGCCTTACTGTTGTATATCAAAGGTCATAACAACCCAATAACGTAAGGCATCGCTTTATCATCATCGCAGTTCCAGGAAACACATCCGATCATGTTCCGTACACACCACAGCAAGTCCACACAGCCGTATGTGAATCCGCACGTTCCTCAGCCATGACACCAAAGGCGAAACGCATCTAAGGGCAGTAGCCAGGATCAATACGGATGCTGTTGTGAGCTGCCCACTAACCTCTAAGAGGGCCTTAAACGAGATGTACTATCCGGCCGGAACCAAGATTCACACCATTTAGATGTAAATCGGAATGGCATGATTTTACAGTGTTGTGGTGGTTAAAGTTTAGTACGGTTGCGTCCGGTTATCGCGTTGGAGTCCAAAGTAGCAATCGTCTGAACACTCGGGGGAAATGTTCCCATTGATATATTATAAAATGTGTCGATCATATACTTAAATGTGTTGTCTACAACAATAGAAAAGTAATGTCGGCACTTTTTTCAATTCCCATGCAATTTACATTTGTGATACATACAGGGGTTTGCAGAAAAAGTTAATAAACACTTACGAACGAAATTTATTACATTATTGGAGTAAAGTGTCAGTTCGTGCCAAGCCAGCCAAGGGCCACAACGACATAACGCTAGAAATTGGCACATTGAAGCATAGAGAATGTAGAGAAACTTTGGCAGAGGAAATGGAATTCTTTCCAGAGCGTCTTAAACAATTCAGTAAATTAGCTGCGACGCTGTTTTGAAAATAACGGTGAGCTGAATTAATTTCAAACTTCGAATACAGTCGACTCTCCCTAAATGCACGCTATTCTGTGGTCTCAACCTCGAGACTTAGTATTAAATGCACTTTATACTAATACACGTATGCTATGGATTTAGAACAATAACTCTAACACGTGCAGACATTGTGGTCGATGAAAATATACAGTAAGTAACAGGAGAGAATGGACATAACGATATTAATTTTTTTATTTTTGCTCTTGAATTTAAGCTCAAATCATCTACGCATTAGTTATAGAAGTGAGAGCAAAAAATGAGAAGAAGTGAAAAGGACTGTATTGCCATACTAATCATACATCAGGTAAAATTATAATTGGTACGATTTTGCAACATTCGATTCAATAATAATATTAGGTCCAGGTTATAATGTCAGTCATGTAAAGTCAGATATAATTCTGTCAGGAAATTGTCACAATTGCCGAACATTAAATTAATTATTGGAAGAGTTATCGATGTGAGAAAGCTTGTCCTAATTTGGTCGACTTAAGGTCGCATCTCATTGCGAACCACCAGGCTTTTCAAGACGCCAAACGATCCGACCTCACCTTTTTCGTGTTTGAGACCGCGTCAATCACATTCGCTTGAAAACATCTGTTAAAGATGTATACGAATCCACGGATGATAAGAAACCTCTTGTCGTTCGCTCCAAAGACACAAGTAAATTAACCATGTATTCTGCTTCTAGAGTTGTGATCAAGCTCAAATTCACCAATTCTCCAAGCTACGTCATGAGACACGTGCGTGGAAAGAACTTCAAGTCTGCACAAAGACGGCATATGACAAACTGCAAAAGTGCGAGCTTTATTTCGTGGACATAGAAACGAAACAATCGTCTTCGACAAAGAGTTTGTGTTCATCAAGACTCTGGATCGATCGTATCAAATCAAATGAAAATGGCGAACGTACCCTCAACCTTCTGGTGCGAATTAAAGGTTCGCCTACTTTGAACTTGCAAACTACCACCAGTTTTGTCATAGTGATAATGTTCACTTCATATTCATACTCTTGACAGGTAAGAAGATGTTTGGCGCGTGAGGGATGAAAGATACTTCAAGAAGAAGTCAAAAAATTCGACTGGTATTTTGTGATGGTAATGTGAGCGTAAATGTAGTATACTAATACTAAGTAATTACGTTCTTTATGATGGTTGTAGGCAACTCATGTCTCTTTATTATTATATAATAATTTGGTAAATACAATCGCGCTTTATGGGAATTTACTTTATATGATATGCGCCCATTCAGTTATTACACAGTGAAACTTGGTAGTCGGACACTCGATAAGTCTAAAGTCGGACAAAATCTCTCTCTGCCCTTTTCTTTTTTCACATTAAAATCCCTGACTTATCGAGTTTCACTGTGTATATAAATGCGCCTATTCTGAATTATTGATGTCCTTATATGGAAATATCTTGATCTATCGCTATATCTAATTTGCTAAACATAGAAATCGGTATTAGTATTATAAACAACGAAATAAAGACATTTAATGGCTTATTTATTAATCTTTATTTGTTATTATTATAAAAGTATAATCAGACCATTTAATAAATCAAACCATATTTCATTTCGGACAGCACTTAAAGCATTACATTACTACAAAGTAGATGTAGTTTGACAGTTTGCCAATATTCTAGAGAGAAATATGCTAGAAAAGGAAGGTAGTATAGGTCAACATTTTAATGAATTATAACCAAGAATGTATACTAGAACTGTAGTATAGATTATTATCATATACTGTGCAATGTAACACAAGTGTAGATTTGCGCTTAAGATTTGCGCACTTTAACTTGGGAAATTCAAACTATGTCGTTGGTTGTTAATAACTCAGCAATTGACAACTTGGTCCAATCCTCCTTGGAAAGTGAAAATAAAGGCTTAAGACTTGAATGGATTCCTTGTTCGGAAATTACTGACGTAAAGCCAAATCAAATTGACAACGTTCATTACGCTACTCGCAAATACTCACTGGACAATGGTAGAGACGGCGAAAGCATGATAATGCTGGTATTCCTTGGAAGTGATGAGATATGCACACCAACACTTGTAAGTGAGTTTGCTAGAATATACTCACTGCCGACACACAAGTACAATAATGATGTCAGTCAATATAGACGATATTCCAAATGGCTTGAGGATCGCAATAAATGGAT